TTAAGTATATTTCAAGACCATTTTATTTGTACTTTATTACTGTCGATCTTATTTTTCACCTTTAATTATTAATTTTATTTTTCAGTGAGGCTAAAGATCAATTGTTTTCATTGTGAAGTATTCAATTTTTTGTCATTGAGAACTATACATATAAAGGGGGGCGCTGACTTATCCGCTCCACGCTTTTCGAACCTAACCGGATTTGCCTTTTTTACTTCAAATACGGACTGAAGCCGAGCATTCTCGATATTTTCGTTTACAATTCCATAACTCATAACTCAGTTATTTTTCATGGGATTTCGTTATTTATTCGCTTTATACTACCACCACTAAATAAACTGACGATCAAGACATGGAATAAAAAATAATAAAAAAAAAACTAGAAAAACTACTAAACATAATATATCATCTATGTAACAAATGTATATTTATTCATCAACGAAAAATATAATTCTATCATAAAATTAAATTTGCTATCTATTAATTGCTTTGCAATGGTCACATTTTGTTGACGGGTTCTTAGGTTCCCATCGCGGGATATAGATAAGCATATGTACCTTGGCCACCGCCTGCATGATCGTCGTGGGGGAATCTAGGGCGATTAAGAATTTGTTTCAGTGGATTCATGTTGTAATTTTTTCGTTTAATGAAAGTTATAATTTTTTTGCAGCGCCTTGAATTGTTGGGTGTGTAATTACTTATGTATTATTTCAATTGCGATATGAATCGATGCGTCAACTATCCTTCACAACAATTTGGACTGAAAAGTCCAAATTTTCTTAATATTTAAGGTGTTAGCAGAATCCCACAGTTCTATAGCGTAAGTCCAAATTAAATAGAAACCAAATAGGGATTGGTTTTCGCTGCCTAGAATAACCATCAAACACGAATTTTCGTAGCTAGCAAAAATGAAAAATACAGCATTTCAAATTTTCACCAAATGAGTAAAGTGTGTCCAAATATTTTTTTTTTTAAATAATGGTGGATCCACATTTTTATTTCCTCTAACTCATTAACAGCACTGTTTTGTTTTGTTTAAATATAATGTTTAAGTATATGTAAAAGGTAATGAGTGACTCTGTAAGAGTCGAAAAAATGTTGAAAACATGTGAATTCATTTATGTTTTCCCCAAATGACCAAGAATGATTATGATGGAAATTATATCACTTGCCGAACACTATATATAAATATATATTTATATAATATTTATTAATACATAAAAGTAAATAAATATTTTTCAATCATTTTCTATAGCTACCGCTCTTTTATCTAAAATCGGTCAATATTTTCTTATCTTGATATTAATGAATAAATAATGTCTTTAGAACCTAAAACAAAAATTACCATTGCTTGAAAGAAAAAATATTGAAGTTTATAAAAAGTTATCTCACATTTTATACTATTGAGTCGTTTATTTTTGTATTTTTTCATATATTATTTCTGATAATATTTTATATTCATTGCACATATAATGGATTATATTTATTAGTGATGCTATAAAACGAAGAAACCAAGAAATATGAAGAAAAATGAAGGAGCTATAGAATTATGACCAAAAAATTCGAACTTGGAACCTCTGTGTGGCCTAGTGCGCGGACTCGGTACCTGTTTATTTATTCCATGTAGTGGAATGTACCTATTTAGTACAAGTGAGCTAGTGGTTTTAGACTAAATGCGGATTGGGATAGGAAACTCCGGAGCAGACAGTTGAGCGCCCTGTTTTAGGGATGCAGTTTATTCATAATGTATTAATCAAAATATAAATAAATAAAAAAATTATAAAAAAAGGAAACAAAATAAAACATAAAATTGACGGTTAAAACATACTTTGTTGTGGTAAATCCCATTTTCTATCTTTTATTTATTTGATTTTTGTTGGGGGCCTGTGGTGCCTATCCCTCCCAAGATCGATAGCGCATGAACTTCGCCCTTCCTCCCAACATATTTTATTGCTCTCCTCTTCTTAATAACAGTGCAAGCTAAAGTAGAATTTTAAAAATCATTGGCTATATACAATTACACTTTCAGTGGTCTGTTCTATGCTTTCCTCTTATCCCCTGCTTTGAAACTTTTCATTTAAAAAAATTCAAACCTCCATCGAGATGTGCCCCCTCAAAAATTCAAAATTTGCTCCCCTCAAATCTTTTGATGGCGCAACTTGCGCCAGGAAGGCCTTTCTTGGGCAACCCTGGTGGAGGCCGAAATCTATTGTTTTCAATTTGAAATATCAAATTTTGTCTCTTTGAGAACTATAAATATTAGAGATGATGCAGTTTATCCGTACTGCATTTATCACAATATAAATAAACAAAAAATGTATTAAAAAAAATAAAACTTGACGGTTAAAACTTACTTTTTTGCGGTACACCCTTTTTTCCATCTTTAATTATTTAGTTTATTTTTTGGTGAAGACAAATTGTTTTCAATGTGAAATATTAAATTTAATCTTATTCAAAACTCAAATTGATATCATATTTATAAAAAATGTATCTCTATAAAAACTGGCAAAAATTAAAGTTTTACTTGTTTATTTCATACTTTAATTATCATTTCTCTATTACTAATAATCCCTTTATAGTTTTTTATACGTTAAATTCTATTTTAACTGATGTTGCACATATCAAGTAACGTTTAAAAATAACAGTTATTTATTTTTAAAAGTACCTGTTTGAAATGTGTAAGTGACATGAATGTGCCGTTGAATTATTCAGTTCGAGTTCTGTGATAACCACACCATCCAAAGAAAATCCGTTTATGTTAGTCGAGAATGAGATATCTGAATCCCACATAATCCTTCAACCTGCAATTACGGGACTGGTTAAGTTTATTTAAAATGTTTCATTTATCATCTATTGTATGTCTTCTATCCAAAATATTTTACTAAAATTATCAGTGTGGTGTAATGTCGTCCTCTCTAATATACCAAGAGCTAACGACCAGTTCATTTAAAGGAAGAATTTATAGCTATTAATCATTTTAATTTCTAGATAAACTTGCAACGTCGGTCAGTCGGTTATAGAAAGCTGATGCTTTCTATACGAAAATTAAATTTGAGACTTCATTTAACGGGAGAACTGACGGCTGAAAAGAGAATTCACCTTGACTGACGATGTACTTGGTTGCGTTTTGATAACTGGCGACGTCAAAAGTCATCAAATTAGGTCAGTCGGATGATAGTCGGATAAGGGAACAATTCCAAATAGTCGGATTTTCTTCCGTTTTTTATGTAATTGGGGTTGCTGAATCTGAGTGTGATGTTTCCCTATGAAATTTTCCCTTTCGTTCCAAGTTATATAAAAAAAACAGCGAAATTTTCGAACGTTTTTTAGTTTATTGGACATGACTCCGAAACTATGCATTTTATCGAAATTATTATTATATACAAAGTTAAAGAAGATAAAATTTACTATCAATTTTATGAATAGCTTTTTAATGTAGGACCAACGGATGAGGAGTTAAAGAGTATTGACTTTGATTATTTTACAAGAGATATCAGTTTTCTTTGGATTTTACCCATATGAATGAGACGTGTCAAATTTCGCAATTTTATTAAATTATCGTATGGTAAGCAGCAACGGCTTCAACCAACTGACTGAAGTTGGTACAAGAAATATCGGTTTTTCCCCAAAACTCATAATCTATGCATCTCTTGAAGTACTTCATTATAGTCAATTTGAATGGGCATTCGATTGCCTATGTAACTGAGATATAAGATCTGGAGATTGCGGACGACGTGTCACCGATTTCAATGAACCTTTACGAGAATTCTTTCCAATACTCAAGGAGCTGAGAAAATACTTTTTTTTTGTCTTATTTCATGAACAGCAAAAATTTATAGGTTGTAATATATCAATCGGTTTGTTTTTTTGTGAAAAAAGGGAAACATTTTGCTAGTTGTATTAAACGAAGTCCAATATATAATAAATTACGAATTCTATAAGATGATTTCAGTAAAGTAGGTCATGTTAATTTTTGTAAAAAAAATAAGAAAAAAAAACTTTAAAATACGAATTTATTCTGAAATAAAAATATACAAATTTTTAGACTTAATTATTTTTATTTTATTTTTTTTTTGAAGCCTTTGGAAGCTAAATTATTACTCTTCCATATCATATACCAATAACTTTCATAAAAAATAAAAACTTCTTAAAAGCTTTCATTTTATATCTTCAGTTATAATTTATTTACGAGGGTCTGCTTTGTGGCATTTCGTGTAGCTACTGGGTCCTAAATTGTTGACAATTTTCGAGTGGATGGTTGGAATTATGACTCAGTTATTACAATTTTTGTAGTACCCGAAAACAATTTGAAGGCTCCACTCTTGAGAAAAATCTCGATCACAACTATTTTATTTTTAAATTGAAAATGAAAATTCGTATTTAATGTTTTTTTTCAAATAGCGAAAATCTCAACTTTGTTTTCCGTTAAAAAGATGTTTGAACCCACTAATATTTTCCTCCATCGGTTAGTAAAAAATATTTCAATATTGTACTAATAACATACTCATATGCCAAAAATATTTTTTTATTCTAAACTAAACGGATTACGAAATTAATTTTACATGCCCAAAACCTGGTATATTGCCCAGATTCAGTACGACAATTAAAATAAAGCATGTAATGTAGATATTATTCATGATGTACAGATCCGAGTATGAATACAATTGTCTATTTTAAAGGAATGTTGAACCGCCTGTTTATTTAATAATTATTTATTTATGTTTAGCAAACGCAAGAGACAGTTTAAAACCATTTGAATCCATAATTTAAAAAATAACAAATGTTTTTTTTATTTTATCACGTTTCTGGGAATACTTTAGTTTATCAGATAACGAAGCTGACAAAGAAAGTATAGCCATTTTGAAAATTTTTTCGTGTTTGTTTACTAGTATTAAGGAAAATTGAATCATTTTATAAATTTAATTTAGATCTTACGTTATCTGTTACTTTGGAGTACTTTTATCTGAAATGGCTGAATGAATCACTTCTCTTTATTGCAGGTGAATGGAGTGAACGTTCTTCATCTGACCCATACGGAGGTTGTGGAGCTCATTAAAGGTAAGTTTAAAAAAATATATATCATTTTTTTATAGTAATTAAGAAAAATTATTTAGTTGCTAAATTTATTAGTTCTCACAATTAGTTTAATTTAAAGTTTAGACAGAAACAGAATTGATTTTCTTCGCAATTTTAATTATTTTAAAAAAAAACGCAACAAGAAAACAGTGTCTAGAGTGTCATATTTATGTGCACAAACACTTCAATTACGAAAAAGTAAATAATAAATGATAAAATTTGATAACTGCTTCATTCAAAATAATTTTTATACCATAAGTTTTGGTTTGTATACCTTAAAATGTACTTTTCCCTTAAACGTGTAATTATATAAAATGGCACAAGGTCTTCTAATTATTATTTGGCATCTATTACTATTAATTGGAGGTGATTTCTCTTTTTTACAATCAATGTATTCTTCTATATTTTTTATTCGTAAAGTTCTCTCAAATTTAAATAAATTGGACATTGGTACGCTTTGTTCGTAGGTACAGATTTATATTACAATAGCTTTAGGATCATTAAATAATTCGAATTGACATTTTATTCGATGCAGTGCATTTTTTTTTCAAGAACTCCGTTCAAATCCTTAATTTTCTAATTAATGAAATTTGTATGGAATGGAAATCGTTATTTTCCGTTGATGAATAAATCAAGAAATTATTTTTTTGTTTTGTTGAACTATATCATTTTTGTATTTAAAAAGAAATACAAATAATTAAAAATAAATTTAAAATTATAAAATTCAGTATTATCGCTGGTTACCCTCTCGTCAGTATATTTTTTGGACCATCGTCACACCCAAACTCAGAATTGTCGAAATACAAAAATTCTAATGTTAGCATTTACGTAATTTTTTTATTTACAAATATATACATATATCAATAATAAAATAACTTAAATTTATCCTCTGAATCTCATTCATATTTTATCTTTCAATTAAATGTTTCTCGGAAATATATTTACCTGTCAGAACATGATCATATCTATCATATCTCAATCCTTGCATCAGTTATTTCCTGGTTCAAATTCTTGGGTAAATATTATATGTTGATAAGAAACAGTCATGAACATTATTTCATTAAATGGCAGCAGTTGAATTAAAAAAAATATATATTATAATTAGCCTTTTGATGTTCGTTTGAGAATGTTCGTTAAGAAAAAAAAGTGTGTTGATGAAGCGATGGTTCATCGTTGAGAGTTTTCTCCATTGAAAAGAGAAATTAGCGTGGGACACCGAAAGTCCTCACAATCACTTTTCTCTCTCTCCGCCCCCCTCTCCTTTTCTCTACAAAGGTTTTCTATTTTCCCAGATCATCATCTAAGATTTTTTTTTCAGGAAGAGGAAGAGGAATCGATTCTGATTCAATTCAATTCATTCTTTTATAGGCTTATGAATAAATTACGTTTAGTATAAGCACAGTTACCAAGTGTCTTGTAAAGGCATTCTCTTGTAACGGAATTAATTCCATAACCGAAAGATTTTTATACTTCGTTGGAAAATATAAAATCCTCGAGCACTACAACTTAACGATGTTCAATGCTTCAAAAGAAAGTACTGTTTCAAGGCCAGTGGTTGTGGAGGAAGGTAACTGTGTAATTCTCCCTTAATTAATTATTTAATCAAAAGTATTCACTCTGTAGTGGCTAGATGTGCCACAAGATAATCTTCTGGTCTCGAAATCGACACAAGGCTGATTAAAATAATTATGGAGTGACCTACCACTACCACAATTAAACCGAGAATCGTTGTGCTTAGGAGCATTATTCGTTGAACTACCACGCTTCATTTATATTTCGTTTTGTCTGTCTAAATCAAACCGTTTACCATGTCGTTGTAAAGAGTAGCAAAACTTCTCTGAAACCCACCGAGGAACTTTATCCTAATCATTTGAAAGCAGGATTTGAAATTGATAATTTAAAAATCATTTGATGCTTTTTATTAAGTGCTATTTTTATTCTTGTTTATAAGTGATAAAAATCATATCCTTATCATTATTTTTGTAAAAAAGTTTTACAATTAACAATAATAATAATTATTGAAGAAAAAAAAAGACTACCATCTCGCGGATTCGCATTGGGACATTAGTCAGAAATTCACAGGGAGGTGAGCGAGCCCTGTGTTTTACACTAAAGCTTCTGGTCCTCCAGTTTGTTTGGGGGTTGTGTATAGGGCTGATAATCCCCTATCCTATAAAACACTTGGTGGAGATTGCCAACTATCTTTCAGGAAACAGCCTGATTTAGAGGGAGTGAATTGTGATCGCGTCCAGGTTTGTGAATCACGTGCTCCCTGGATATCTTGGAGAAGAGAATCAAACGATCACAGCTGTCGCCTATGACAGCACCAAAATGCTCATGGTGAAAAGTGGAAGTCAAGAGGCTTAAGAAAAAACAATATATATTTAATTTAATTAGTGTGTATAGAGTATCATTATTATTTATTTAAAACCGTATCACTCAGTGAGTGATCATTATTTTTGATCAAATCAATAAACATCAAAGATCGATTTAAATTTTTATTTAAACTTTAAATTAAATTATAAAACCAACATAATAATTATTTCATGGTTTTGTGGAAAAAACAATATCGATTTCAAACTCTGTTTGAAAGTATAACTTATTTCAGTGTAAATAGTATTTCATTTTTTTAATCCTGGCTCCTATATATGATATTTATTTATTTTTTAAATATTTACTTATTGTTTTTGCCCCGACAGATATGAAATGGCAAATGGGAAATTACAGTAAAATTCAGCATTAGGACGTTCTTTATTAATTAATTTTCATAGTCTAGGGGAAAGTTTTTCCCTGAGATTGTTATGGCAGGTCTTCAAAATATAGTATTAATACGGACTTCATACAATTAATAGGAGAAATGTATGAAGGATACAGCTGTCAAGTCAAGCTGAATACTTGATGGTTGACCGTGTTATATTATTAATTAAGGAGATGGTCCGAGGTGGCGGTCACAAAAAGACTACCATAGTCCAAAAAAATATTTTATTTAAAGCCAACTCTTCGATCGACTTTGCAGGTCTTCAGTGCTAGAACAAACAAGATACAAAATGATATAGAAAAATGTGGAGGGTATATAATGTTTAGATAAAGATTATAAACAACGTGATAACCTTATTAAAATTATAAACAGTGTGTCTTACGGATATATTAGCTGCATACATCCGTAAGTCTCAATTTTAATATTTCTATTCACACTGTTTATAATTTTTATCTAAATATTATGTAACCTCCACATTTTTCTATATCCTTTTCTATCTTGTTCGTTCTAGCCCTGAAGATGTCGTTCAAAGCCGGGTCGAAACGTTGGCTTTAAGTAAAATAGTGTTTTACTATTTTAATCTTTTTATTTCAAGTCAAGGTTGAAACTCACCTTCCTGAGCCTTCCCTAACCAAGTAAAATCTATCCAATAAAAGATTTCTCCAGATATCCAGAGAGTGTCTCCAGGCAGGCAGTGTCTGGAAAAATCTTTTTCCAAATTTTTTCTTAAAATCATCTTAGAAGAATAGAGGAAAAATGTAAACTCGTGGGAATTTATCTGAAAGAAGGAAGAAGTATTCCTAAAACATATCGTTTGCGGACGACCTATTCATCATTGCCCAGGATACAGACGATCTTATATGCGCATAAGATAAAACGAGGAATATGAACGAACGGGGTTTTGGTTATCAATGCTGAGAAGATGGAATTTATGTCATCCCGTATTGATGGCATTGAACTGACCTCTAGGGTTCAGTACTTCAAACATCTCGTTACCAAAATAGAATTATATGATTCCTGCTATATGGAACTAAAAATATATATCAATGCTCTACTATATATAATGTAGGAGGAATGTACTGCTAAAACTATAACGAATATACCGCCTAGTGTTAGTTCAAAAGGTCGTATGTAACCCTTTTACATGTTTATTCTCTTTGCTCTGAAGGTGACATTTTGTAATCGGCAACTGCTATAAGTAATCTGCTAAATAGGAAAATAGCACAGGGCCATAAATATGAAATTATACTAATAAATCATAAAGAAATACTATATGTTTATACTCTTCTGTAAAAAAAAAAAATATATATATATATATATATATATATATATATATATATATATATATATATATATATATGACCATTTGCACTAACAGCAACGATATATAGTATAGTATTGAGTTTTATGAAATATGAAGTAGAAACCTTAACCATAAAAAAATGAAATTAAAAGAAACTTCAACGAGACTGGATTACAGGCGCCGATTAGAAAGAATATCCAAAATGGATTAAATAAGAAATAAAAAAAAAAGACAAATTGGAGTTAAGAAATAAAAAATTCCTAAGATGTTGTGGACTTTTAAAAAGAATGCCTGAAAGGAGTTTGCCAAGGAAGGTTTACTTTTGGGAAATCGGTGGATGAAGAAGAAGAGGTGGGCTCGGTAAAACGTGGAATGACCAATTAGAAGAGTCTATAATAATGAGACATAGTCTGCAACAGGAGTGGACTCTGGATAGAAGAAGACTTTAGAAAATTTATAGGATGAGGAAATCCATTGTTTTATGAAAATATTTTAAATGGGGAAAAAAAGGGCTGCCAAGTAAGGTCAGTATAGCTTCCTCACCGTTTTCATTTTCTATTAAATCAAATAAAATTTATATTAAAAAGTCTAAAAATTTTCTATAAGAATAAAATCTCTGGAAGAAGCAGTTATCGGGAAATTCAGCAATCCTTCAACATACACGGGCTTGATATACACGAGATTTATTTATAAGCAAATACTAAAATGCGATAAAGTTCCGCATTCGCAGATTGCATATTTAATAATTCCTATTTTAAAAAAAAAATTAAAAACTGCATACTGAATATGTATCTCGCTACCGTTAGTGCAAATGACGTATGTAAAAATTAAGTGTTTTACAGGAGAGCATAAAAACTAATTATTTCTTTATGATTTATTAGTGTAATTTTATATTTTATTGCTCTCTGCTATTTTTCATAA